AAAAGTTTACACGTCACTGTTCAATGGGAAAGTTTACACGTCACTGTTCAAAGGTAAAAAGTTGACTGCATCAAGTCTGAGGCCAGAGAGACGTAATACATATACTTACATACTCCATTACTTGCTGTTTCGTGGCTTGAGCTTATTAACTATACACAGCTGGTTCATAGTTCCACCTTAACTACCTATCAAGCGTTTTAGAACTCAATATATCTATACATAATTTCTAAAACAAAGATAACTTTTCGAATGGTTACTTTGGCACTTAGGTAGTTAGAGGTCAGGGTGAGATTGAGCAACACTTATTTAATTCTTTATTTACAGAGAACTTTACATATGATACAACGCCAAGGAAACTATTTGGCACTAACGGAAAAATATAAAACTGATTCCGTTTCTTCACCAGAAGTTGAGTTTTGCCGTGTTGTCACATGGTAAATGATCGGGGGGCCCTCGGACAGTATAGTGGCATGTCCAGTCTTGTACCACAGACCAGGGCCCCCGGACAGTATTTTGGCATGTCCAGTGTCGTACCACAGACCAGGGCCCCCGAACAGTATTTTGGCATGTCCAGTGTCGTACCACAGACCAGGGCCCCCGGACAGTATAGTGGCATGTCCAAAGTCGTACCACAGACCGGGGCCCCCCGGACAGTATAGTGGTATGTTTAGTGTCGTACCACAGACCGGGGCCCCCGGACAATATAGTGGCATGTCTAGTGTCGTACCACAGACCGGGGCCCCCGGACAGTATAGTGGCATGTCCAATCTCGTACCACAGACCAGGGCCACCACTAACAGCGAAGCGGTGTCCGCAGCTGGAAACTACATACCAGAGTCACCACAGACCGTATCAAAGCGTCCCTAGTCCACAGAGGACATCATATTCAACTTTGGTGGTGTAGTAAACACTAACAAAAATTCTGCCATGGTCTAAACACAGCTTGTAACCACCGTCGGCTGTATTAAGACGAAAAAGAGTTTACCTCAATTACAAACTGTTCCATATACATTATTCGTGACGTAACTTGATATTGGTTCTAACGTTAAGTTCAGCAAGAGATAAAAACAAGAAAATGGATGATATATTGAACCCATCTCAACTCAATTCATTAAACTCAAGATTGTATCAAAGATAATATCTCAAGAAACGAACTGAACCTGACGACAAGGCAGTTTACGGGCTCACCATAGCCCGTGCTACTTGGAACTTTTGTTCCTAGTACCGAATCTTAAACAACAACAAACTCAGTGTACTGGGCACTCGAGCGAGGTTCTGGCCTCCCCCTAGAGTGCACGCAACACAATGAAATAAATTAGAAAAACATACGAACTACTTAATACAGTAGGGAGACAACATACAACAGAACAACTCCATTATAAAAGATACTACAGCTGCTGGCTGAGAGAATCCACAATTTGGCTGCGTTGTTTTAACACGACGCGGATTGAAGAAGGAAGTGGGAGTCATCTAGTGAACACCATCTAGTGAACACCATCTAGTGAACACCATCTAGTGAACACCATCTAGTGAACACCATCTAGTGAACACCATCTAGTGAACGCTTACCTGACATCTGGTCAGGTAAGCTTTAGGAAAGCCAGCACACTGGGCCTCAACTCTGACCAACAGGGCAGAATGAGACTATACGTCAGTCTAAATCTTGGTACTGTTTGCAGAATAAGATAACCTGTCTCTGACATGTATGTCAACCCCACACGTGGAGACTCGTGCTGCTACACTGAGGGGCCTCATTTCGCTACAATGAGGGGCCTCATTTCGCTACAATGAGGGACCTCATTTCGCTACAATGAGGACTTCATTTCACTATAATGAGGGACCTCATTTCGCTACCATGATGGGCCTCATTTCGCTACAATGAGGGGACCTCATTTCGCTACAATGATAGGCCTCATTTCGCTACAATGAGGACCTCATGTCGCTACAATGAGCCAAGACACTGGCTCTCATTATTTTTGATTATCACATTAAGCCATCTGCGTTAATTATTGTAATAACATAACTGCCTGATGCTAAATTAAAGATAATTATATCATTAAAAATATAAATGCATGTATTTTCATACTAATTCCAGGTGTGTATATATACTTAAGCACCGTTTATATATCTTTAAGTTCGGTATAACGTTGCACAACTACACACTCCTCCCCCCCCCCCCCTCCCAAGGTAAATAGGAAAGACACAATTAATGAGGCTTTTAAGCTAACAAATTCTGTCATTAATCATATGAAAATGAGCATGTTAACTATGTACAGGCAGGACATCCCGCCGCCCCCCTCTGTCTGGACCGAATTTTCCTGTTTCTCCTCAATCTTCTTCTTCCTTTCTTTCTTTCTCTCTCACTTCTTATTTACTCTTTCTCTGTCTACTTACCTTTGGTTCACATGCTCTCTCAAACAGACTTCGAATGGTCAGTTTTCTTCACAGCCAGGAGAGCACAGCCTGAAGACCACAGCCTGGAGACCACAGCCAGGAGACCACAGCCTGGAGACCACAGCCTGGAGACCACAGCCAGGAGACCACAGCCAGGAGACCACAGCCAGGAGACCACAGCCAGGAGACCACAGCCAAGAATGGAATCTCCAAAACAACTGGGGAACCATTACAACTAAGACCCACGAAGAAGCATAATAAAAGAAAACGAAAGAAGGGGGTGAAGAGGGGGAGGGACGATAATAAACGAACATTTCACTCACTCGTAAATAAAAAAAACAGGGAACTCAAGAGAGTTTAGATAAGATTTTTAACTTAACGTAAACACTCATTTAAAATCTTCGAGTAAATTTTATTGCCAGAACTGTAAAATCTTGACACCCGGCTGTCATTTTAAATTAAGAGAATGAGATCTAACAAGAGAATGGGATGGTTTAGCGAGCGGTAAAGGGTTTCTCTACGAACAAATCTCTTAGTTCACATATTCTCTTACAGTTAGTATAGTTAAACACTAACTTAAAGTTAGTGTTTCCAATATATATATATATATATATATATATATATATATATATATATATATATATATATATATATATATGTGGCATTACAGTCAGAACATATAAAAGGGGGGTGGAGAGGGTCACTATATTGGCATATAGCACGAATGGGGGTTACATCTATACTGTATTGGAAGCTGTTAAATTTTCTTTTATGTATATATGTAATATATATAGTTTAATATATTTGGTTTCTCGTGTCTTTTTATTTCTAGTCTCTCAGGAATCATCCAAGTACTACAGAGATATTACAAAAACATCGGGTTTTTAAATTTGAATCTAATTTTATGTAATTGTTGTATTTTCCACAATTTTCGTAAACCATTATTTTAACTAGTTTTAAATATTTTAGTTTTTTTTGCAGATTTATTAGTTCATGATGGTTATGTAAGCATGCAGTGTATATATATATACACTGATATATATATATATATATATATATGTCGTACCTAGTAGCCAGAACTCACTTCTCAGCCTACTATTCAAGGCCCGATTTGCCTAATAAGCCAAGTTTTCCTGAATTAATATATTTACTATAATTTTTTTCTTATGAAATGATAAAGCTACCCTTTTTTGTATGTATGAGGTCAATTTTTTTTTATTGGAGTTAAAATTAACGTAGATATATGACCGAACCTAACCAACCCTACCTAACCTAACCTAACCTATATTTATAGGAAAGGTTAGGTTAGGTAGCCAAAAAAAGCTAGGTTAGGTTAGGTTAGGTAGGTTAGGTAGACGAAAAAACATTAATTCATGAAAACTTGGCTTATTAGGCAAATCGGGCCTTGAATAGTAGGCTGAGAAGTGCGTTCTGGCTATTAGGTACGACATATATATATATATATATATATATATATATATATATATATATATATATATATATATATATATATATATATATATATATATATATATATATGTCGTACCTAGTAGCCAGAACGCACTTCTCAGCCTACTATTCAAGGCCCGATTTGCCTAATAAGCCAAGTTTTCCTGAATTAATATATTTACTATATTTTTTTTCTTATGAAATGATAAAGCAACCCTTTTCTCTATGTATGAGGTCAATTTTTTTTTATTGGAGTTAAAATTAACGTAGATATATGACCGAACCTAACCAACCCTACCTAACCTAACCTAACCTATATTTATAGGTAAGGTTAGGTTAGGTAGCCAAAAAAAGCTAGGTTAGGTTAGGTTAGGTAGGTTAGGTAGACGAAAAAACATTAATTCATGAAAACTTGGCTAATTAGGCAAATCTGGCCTTGAATAGTAGGCTGAGAAGTGCGTTCTGGCTATTAGGTACGACATATATATATATATATATATATATATATATATATATATATATATATGTCGTACCTAATAGCCAGAACGCACTTCTCAGCCTACTATGCAAGGCCCGATTTGCCTAATAAGCCAAGTTTTCATGAATTAATTGTTTTTCGACTACCTAACCTACCTAACCTAACCTAACCTAACATTTTCGGCTACCTAACCAAACCTAACCTATAAAGATAGGTTAGGTTAGGTTAGGTAGGGTTGGTTAGGTTCGGTCATATATCTACGTTAATTTTAACTCCAATAAAAAAAAATGACCTCATACATAATGAAATGGGTAGCTTTATCATTTCATAAGAAAAAAATAAGAAAAAATATATTAATTCAGGAAAACTAAGCTTATTAGGCAAATCGGGCCTTGAATAGTAGGCCAAAAAGTGAGTTCTGGCTACTAGGTACGACATATATATATATATATATATATATATATATATATATATATATATATATACATTTTTTTTTTGAGGCACTGGGAGGCTCGAACTGCCAACCCTACTAGCGTGAAGCCAAAGCTCTATCCACCATACTATGAGACATGGAGGATAGAGCTTTGTCCTCACACTCGAGGGGTCAGCGCTTCGAGTCTTCTAGTACCCAGGTGAATGACTCGTTTATTTCCACAAGTAGTGAGGTCTCTCAATGTCGTTTTCATGGCATAACCTTTTATTTAGTTTCAATATACTTACATACAATATAGCACAAAAATGTTCTGCATGTCAGATGCGACCTATTGCGTACACATTGTTTCAATTTTTCCTTATTTTATATTTATATATATATTTACAAGAGCAAGTTTACAGTTGACTTTTTTCTCAGAACAAGAGTCCTAGTTTTGTGTCTCTTATATAATATTCACTTATGTCTCTTCCTATTGTCTCAAGTCAACACGAGGGAGTCTCTTGACCACAGAGAAGCGCGCTTTTAACATGGTCCTTCGAGCAAACGAGAATTCTTGAGAGCTAGCGGAGAATTCTTAGGAACTAGCGAACATTTCTTACGAGCTTCCAAAGGATTCTTAGGAGATGCTCAAGAATTCTAGAGGTGGTGGTTAATGAAGAATTCTTAGGAGAGGGTGAAGCGGTTTGAGAAACTAGCGAAAATTTCTTAGGTGATATCAGCTAAATCTTGAATTTTATGATGCATTCGTACTGCTAAGTAAAATTGTTCGTTAACTTGTGAAACATTCTTCGTAGCTAGAGAAGAATCCTTGGGAGCTAGGTAAGAATCCTTTGGGAGCTAGGAAAAAATTCTTCGAATCTTAGGAAGAATTCTCACGAACTAGCGTAACATGTCCAGTCGTTCAAAGCACTAGATCAATTATTATTTTTAGATTGACTACATTTGCGGCTGTATTAATTTTCCCACAATCACCCTTCACGGTATTATCACTGGACAAACTGGGTTGAAATCAATTCAACTGGTTCAGCAATATAAAATGTTTGCTAGATAAGTCACATTTGTTCAGATTCGTTATCAAGCAACTAGAACCACCAGTAACGTGGAGGACAGGGACATCTGTCTGTCTCTCACACACACACACACACGCACTTGCTTCTGTCTCTCCCGCCGTCAAATTCCTCCCGTCAATCGCTCGCTGTCCTCCTGTTGCCTCTGAGGACCTCTTTACCGCCCCGTCAACTCCTCGTCACTGCGCGCTGCCTTCCTGGCCTCGAGGATCACAGTCCTCGTCGCTCATCACGTCGTCCTCGTCGTACTCGATCATGGAGAGGTCGTCCTTGTCCTCGGGCTTGCCGGAGTCGCCCTTGCCGCCGTCAGCCGTGTTAGCGGAGTCGCCCTTCTTGTGGGCGCCTCCGCCACACTGCTGTTCTTCCTCCTGCTGAACCCGCTTGTGCTTCGTCCGCCGGTTCTGGAACCACACTTTGACCTGCAGAGAGAGAGAGAGAGAGTTCAGTGGCCAACAGAGATAATGATCCTGTGAGATACATGAGTTATCTGTGAGATATAAGACTTTATCTGTAAGAGTCAAAACTCACTTGTAAGATATGAGACTCGTCTGTGGGATATAAGACTCATTTGTAAGATTCAAGATTCAGCTTCGTTTATTTCATTTATTATGCACCTGATACCCATCCCGTGGGCGGTAGACCCATACCCATCCCGTGGGCGGTAATGGGACCCATACCGAACCCGTGGGCGGTAATGGGACCCATACCGAACCCGTGGGCGGTAATGGGACCCATACCCATCCCGTGGGCTCATCTGTAAGGTACTGGACTCATCTGTAAGGTGCTGGACTCATCTGTAAGGTACTAGACTCATCTGTAAGGTGCTGGACTCATCTGTAAGGTGCTGGACTCATATGTAAGGTACTGGACTCATCTGTAAGGTGCTGGACTCATCTGTAAGGTACTGGACTCATATGTAAGGTACTGGACTCATCTGTAAGGTGCTGGACTCATCTGTAAGGTACTGGACTCATCTGTAAGGTACTGGACTCATCTGTAAGGTGCTGGACTCATCTGTAAGGTACTGGACTCATCTGTAAGGGACTGGACTCATCTGTAAGGTACTGGAGTCATCTGTAAGGTACTGGACTCATCTGTAAGGTACTGGACTCATCTGTAAGGTACTAGACTCATCTGTAAGGTGCTGGACTCATCTGTAAGGTACTGGACTCATCTGTAAGGTACTGGACTCATCTGTAAGGTACTGGACTCATCTGTAAGGTACTGGACTCATCTGTAAGGTACTGGACTCATCTGTAAGGTACTAGATTCATCCGTAAGATACAAAACACATCTGCTAGGTGTGTCTGGTAAGACTCATCTGTAAGACTGTATCTCGACACATCTAGATACAAGACTTACCTGAAAGATATAAGATTTATGTGTAAGATACAATACTCATCTGTAAGATAATATGCTCATCTGTAAAATACAAAAGAATTTGTAAGATACAAAATTCTTGACTGTAAGATACAAAAGACTTATCTGTAAGACTCAGGACGTAACACATTCAAGACCTGACGACCCCCCCCCCTCGTAAGGAAGGAGGATTGTTGTTGTTGTTGTTATTTTATAGATTCAGCTGCTGTGAACAAAAAGTTATAAGTAGCACAGGCTATGGTGAGCCCGTAGTGGACTGGAGAGAGAGAGAGAGAGAGAGAGAGAGAGAGAGAGAGAGAGAGAGAGAGAGAGAGAGAGAGAGAGAGAGAGAGAGAGAGAGAGAGAGAGAGAGAGAGAGAGAGAGAGAACGCTATAAGAAAGTGTCATTACACACAGCACTTAGAAGGGAATATCGTTGGATCGTTAGGAGATCGAACGCCGACCTGCAAGAAGCGATGCCGTGGCAGTGCCGACCAGTGTCTCGTGGTGCTGATTGCACACATCACAGTGCGCGCGTGCGTGTGTGTGTGTGTGTGTGTGTGTGTGTGTGTGTGTGTGTGTGTGTGTGTGTGTGTGTGTACGACCTTTCTTGTAAGAATGTGAGCAATGTATAAGGAAATGCTGGGGTTAATGACTCAAGTTATAGTGAAGGGGGAACGATTGTGTCGACCGATTGCTTCTTGCACACTCACCAACTCACTCCATCAATCTAATGATTCTGCTCCAACTCATTAGCCGACAATCCTCTCTACCTCATCACCTGACAGCAATCCCTAACTCATCACCCAACAGTCAATCCCCCAGCTCATCATCTAATTATCCCCAGCTCATCACCCAACAACCAATCCCCCAGCTCATCATCTAATTATCCCCAGCTCATCACCCAACAACCATCCCCCAGCTCATCATATAATTATCCCCAGCTCATCACCCAACAACCATCCCCCAGCTCATCATATAATTATCCCCAGCTCATCACCCAACAACCATCCCCCAGCTCATCATATAATTATCCCCAGCTCATCACCCAACAGTCAATCCCCCAGCTCATCATCTAATTATCCCCAGCTCATCAACCCAACAGTCAATCCCCCAGCTCATCATATAATTATCCCCAGCTCATCACCCAACAACCATCCCCCAAAATATTAGTCTTAAAGAAAGTTTCGTAATAAAATAACTGCATTTTCACAGAAATAAATGTTAAAAACTAATTTTAATTTTAATTTTAATTTAATTTTAATTTTAATTTATCCTGACTTAGTCATAACTGTTTACCATCACTCTCAATTGTCTACTATTACTGTCAATTATCTAATATTACTCTCAAGTAATAAACAGGAACTATTTATATATCGCCTTGAAAATTATTAGCCATTATTTAACAACTATTATTACATATTAAGATAAGTAGGTTCAGAACTTTAGATTTAGAAACATATCCTGGACTATAATTAGAATCAAGAAAAGTCACATATAATTTGGATTTTGTAAAAAAAAAATTAAGCAAAATTCATGTCAAATGTAAATAATAGTAGTTATGTGATAACATTAAGAAATCGCTAGTTAATCGTTAGTGGCCAAAGGAACTAGCCTAATCAAAACAGCTTGAGACTGTCTTCCCTGTAAACACACAACGTCACGGTTCCTCTGCTTCCCCCTTGTCACAACTTGTAATAAAGCTGTTACATCTTGTTATAACCTATTAATGACGTATTAGAACGTTGCAACAACGTCGTCGTTACGTCGTCAAAGTGTTTTGGCTGGGGCTAAGGACTGGCGACGCGTTACTGGTCATTGATCTTGTGTTACGTATAGACCTAAATGGTTATCAACTTTCTGGAGGGTTATCAAGGCCACCACCACGAGGTCTAACTGACCACCCCAGCAAGTATACCTTTGGCCCTTGACATAATTCAGGACTAAATTAAACTATCAGTGTATGGACAGAGATAAACGAAGTACACTTCTCAGTGTATGGACAGAGATAAATGAAGTATACCTCTCAGTGTATGGACAGAGATAAATGAAGTATACCTCTCAGTGTATGGACAGAGATAAATGAAGTACACCTCTCAGTGTATGAACAGAGATAAACGAAGTATACCTCTCAGTGTATGGACAGAGATAAATGAAGTACACCTCTCAGTGTATGGACAGAGATAAACGAAGTATACCTCTCAGTGTATGGACAGAGATAAATGAAGTATACCTCTCAGTGTATGGACAGATATAAATTAAGTATACCTCTCAGTGTATAGACAGAGATAAATGAAGTATACCTCTCAGTGAGTGTATGGACAGAGATAAACGAGGTACATCTCTCAGTGTATGGACAGAGATAAACGAAGTACACCTCTCAGTGTATCTACTCCAGTAGCAACTGATGACTCGGCTGATGATAGACGTACTCATGTGCTCCAGTGAGTCCGAAATCTACTGACGGTTTTTCTTTTGTTAAGTCTTCCATTTCTTGGTTAAATAGGACGGTCAGGAAGGTCCTATTTAAACCCAGGAGGGTCTCGAACCCAGCCGGCTTGCAGCCAACTTCTTCCGTAAATCTTGTAAATTGGGGCTTTATTCATAAAATAAAAACAGTCTCTTCCACCCCACTGGTTTTATGATTCATGAATAATGCATTTCGTATTGCTTTCACTCGCGTCAGGAGGTTGAAGCCAAGCTGGTGCACCTCCCCACGAGGGCTGACCCCGCCTGCACCTCCCCACGAGGGCTGACCCCTCCTGCACCTCCACACGAAGGGCTGACCCCGCCTGCACCTCCCCACGAGGGCTGACCCCGCCTGCACCTCCCCACGAAGGGCTGACCCCTCCTGCACCTCCCCACGAAGGGCTGACCCCGCCTGCACCTCCCCACGAAGGGCTGACCCGGCATGCACCTCCGTCCTGTTTCATCGTTGACCTCCTTTAAAGGTACATGCTCACTCTACACATCTCTTGAGGAGGAGAAGGAGGACGTCTCCCAGACCACTCAGCTACGATAGCAGGTTGAGGAAACTAAAGCAATGGAGAGACGAAAGAGTGAATAAGATATACAATATCATATTCACTCTGTTATCTCATCTTATGAATAGATAAGGCTGTTACCTTGTCTATTTCATCTCACTATTCAAGATATTAAGGGGGAATAGATAAGGGCAGCCTCTTTAAATGTAAAATAGGACAAGATAGCACAGGTGGAAGAGGTAAAAACACCTGGGTCGAAGAAATATAAGGAAATACTCGTACTCTCTACAGATAGTCAACAAGTGAACTGCACTGAATGAAGGTGGTGTGTGGAAAGTCAATTCCTTCCCCTCGTCCCACCCCAAATCCTTATCCTGACCCCCTCTTCCAAGTGCTATATAGTCGTAATGGCTTGGCGCTTTCCCCCCCTGATAATTCCTCCCCCCCCCCCCCCTTACATCCTTAACTTTATGATAAGATTCGACGAAGAATTCGAACTTCAGGAATATTATATTAGTCCGCAAGTGGTACAACAAGGATACACAGGTCACAGCCCCGCTCCTGTGCCAGGTAAGTCCACTACGGGCTCACCATAGCCCGTGCTACTTGCCCCGCTCCTGTGCCAGGTAAGTCCACTACGGGCTCACCATAGCCCGTGCTACTTGCCCCGCTCCTGTGCCAGGTAAGTCCACTACGGGCTCACCATAGCCCGTGCTACTTGCCCCGCTCCTGTGCCAGGTAAGTCCACTACGGGCTCACCATAGCCCGTGCTACTTGCCCCGCTCCTGTGCCAGGTATGTCCACTACGGGCTCACCATAGCCCGTGCTACTTGCCCCGCTCCTGTGCCAGGTAAGTCCACTACGGGCTCACCATAGCCCGTGCTACTTGCCCCGCTCCTGTGCCAGGTAAGTCCACTACGGGCTCACCATAGCCCGTGCTACTTGCCCCGCTCCTGTGCCAGGTATGTCCACTACGGGCTCACCATAGCCCGTGCTACTTGCCCCGCTCCTGTGCCAGGTATGTCCACTACGGGCTCACCATAGCCCGTGCTACTTGCCCCGCTCCTGTGGCAGGT